GGTAGTGTTATTTACAATAGTGGAAAGGTGGCAATAACCCAAATATTCAGCAATAGATGAACTGATAAACGAAATGTGCTAAATGAATACAATGGAATATTATTCAGCAATGAAAAGAAATCAAGTTCTGTGATACATGCTAAAGCATGGACAAACTGTTAAAACATTATACTAAGTGAAATAAAACTAATATAGAAGGACAAATAGTGTATAATTCCCCTTATATGAGGTACCCTGAAAAGACAAATTTGAAAAGGCAAGAAAGTAGAAGAGAGATTATCAGGGGCTGGGGAATGAGGAGTTATGGAAAAGGTACAGAAAGTTTGGGAAGACAAAAAGTTCTGAAAATGAATTGTGGTGATGGTTATACAATGATGTGAAAGTACTTAATGCTTCTTCCAGTGAATCTTTTCTCTTTTAAATTTTTGTTTGAAAACAAATTGTACTAATGCTTGACATTATCAAGCTATAAGAATCCATACTCTCAGAATAGCTAACAGAAAAATATGTTACTTGTCATAATATTTGGTGAAAAATGTAAGATAATTTCAAAACATTTAATGTTCAGGATCTTTAAAATACTGTTTTAAAATTGCTGTTGATTTAGAAGAACTCACTGGGGTCAAAATCATTAACAGTTTATTAACAGATTTCATCTTTGACCAAGGGCACAAGAACCAATATATGTAATTAGTTCCCTAAATGTTTGTGCAGAATAACATTTAACTTGCCCTTTGTGGTGTCATACCACAAGCTTCACCAAAAAATACAACAGAATCTAGTTTGTGTTGTTTAAAATGATATAGTGTTAAAATAACCTTTGATCAATGATTGCTGCTACTTAACAACTACAAAGTCGGTATTTTAGGACATGGTTAAACCTCATTTAAATAAAAGTACTCATAATTCGACTTCCCTGGAAGAAGAGTATAACTGAAAGACATAAATTTCTGTATCATCTTATGCTTCTTGATATGATCACCTAATATTTCATTTTAGAACAGAGAATTGTCTATTACCATTACAGCGTATTTGCCTGCTGTCTAGATGTACAGGAGCAGCAGCTGGGGTTGACATTCATATCGCTTTTCTTATTTTTGATTTGTTGATACAATTTTTGTCAATTCACAGAAAAGTCTAATATAAATAAAAGAGGCCTAGCTTTCCAAATAATCAATGTCTAAGGGTCCCTAAATGAAATACAGTCCAACACTAAAAGTATTTAAGATGTCACATACCATGAATTCTGGTGACACCGAATTAAAGAATATGTTTCACATGCTGGATAAGACAAAAGAGGGCACAAGTCGCAGGTTCTAGCTCAGGCTCCCCTAGCCTCATGTTCCTGGGCCCTCCCTCAGGATGTCTCCATGTAGATGGGAGAGGGAATGTCTCTTCAGATGTGTGTCTGAGGAGATGCCTCAGCCTTCATTAGTACATGTCAATTCTCTCCCCACTTGGTTCATTACAAATTATATTACATTATTTTTATATTATTTTATATTATTATTGTATTATATTGTTATGTTATGTTAAATTATCACACAGCTTCACAGTCAATAGAAATATGGAAATGCTGCCATACAATCTTGATAGGGATTATAGTCAAATTTGGTGTCACTCAGTGAATACCTTTTTTTTTAAATTTAGAGAGAGAAAAAAAACATCGATGTGAGAGAGGAACATGCCTCCCGTATGTGCCCCTGCTGGGAATCAACAGGCAACCTGGGTATGTGCCCTGACCTGGGGTCAAACCCACAACCCTTCAGTGTAGGGGACAATGCTCCAACCAACTGGGCCACACTGGTCAGGGCAGTGAATGCCTTTTGATAACTCAGTAAAGTGCAACTATATTTTTAAAAGCTTATGTGAAGAATTTACAGTCATCCCATTTGTCTAAATCCAGGAGGGCAAACAGATGTCATGTATAGAACCTGTTTAGAGTCCTCCTGGATGAGAGGGGTTTGAAGGCTGATTCTGGGTGAGATGAGGAAGGGTACCATATGTGTCTATTATGGTCTTGTGGTGGTGGCATGTGCGTTGCATACCAGTCAATTCTAACATAGATATTCTAAAAGTATCCCTGTATTAACACTAAACAGCAAAGAGCTATGTACTGGACCACTTTTGTGATACCCCCACAGAAATGATTTGCCTGAGTTATATTTAAGCTTTAAAACTTCAGCATGCATTCATCAAAATTAACAAAGAAAGTTATGAAAATTATTCTATTTCCTGTAAGGATTTTTATAATTTGCTATATTGAACAATATTTTATGTATAAGAATCCACAGGAGAAATTCATTTCAAGACAGTGCTAGGAATATTCAAGTTTTGCCTAAGAGACTGGTCAGTTTTACTTTTTTTTTTTTTTTAAAGATTTTCTATTGATTATGTTTTAGAGAGAGAGGAAGGGAGAGGAAGAGAGAGAGAGAGAAACATCAATGTAAGAGCAAAGCACAGATCAGCTGCTTCCTGCACGCCCCCTAGTGGGGATCACATCCGCAATCCAGGCATGTGCCCTGACCAGGAATTCACACTGGCGACCTTTTAGTGCACGGGATGACACCCAACCAACCGAGCCACAACGGCCGCCGGGGCCTGACTAGTTAGTTTTTATCTCATGGACAATGACTTGCTCTTTTCTCCTCTTGGCACTGCTTCTAGAAAACTCAAAAAAATCTCTTTTTTCTAGCACTGGGCTAGAATAGTACACCTGCCCTCACAGAATCCATTTCACATCTTAAACCCAACCTTGACTTCAACTAAGTTTTCCTATTCTTATTTTTACTTAGCCTCAATTTAGTCACTTCTACTTTTAATCACCTAGAAGTGTTTATTCTGTGTGCTATAATAAAACTAAATATAAATATCCCAACCTAACTGTGCTACATGGCTCACTTACAATATCTCAGAGGCTGGGTTTTCTTTTCTATAAAATAAGAGGTTGTTCCACTCTAGTTCTGAAATTTTGTCATATTTCTAGACTAAAAACAAGGAATGAGTCACAAGTTTATATGTTCACTGCCTTTAACTTATTTACTAAAATAAGTTATATTTTATATTTTGTCAATCACTGATTCTTTAAAAGGTGACCATCTTAAAGTAGATAATGTTTAATTTATGTATCCCAACTAGTTTGTATCTATCAAAATTTCACTAAATGGCATGTAAAGATATTTATTCTCATGATAGTTCCAAAAAGTAGAATTTCATATGAAGGTTCAGAAGAAATTCACAAGGTTAATAACTTTGGAAATATTAAGTAACATTAACATAGGTTAAGACATCAGTCTAGCGAGATCTTAGTTTTTTTATTATCCAGTGTAATATTCTATCTATCATACATTACTAACTCCATTTAGCACACTGCTCACTAATGAGTAAAATCAATTAAAATGCAAAAAACCCCCACCCTAATTATGTGCTATACACTGTGTAAATGAATTACATTACATAGAAAGATTTCAGAGCACAGTGGCACCTCGGTTTTCGAATGTCTCTGTTGACGAACATTTCGGTTTACAAACGCCGTAAACCCAGAAGTCAATGCTTTGGTTTTCGAACAAGCCTCGGAAGTCGAACATGCCCCGCGGCTTCCACTGAGGGCAAGGTCCTGAGGCCCAGCCATCGGCTGCGGATCCCTCGGTTGTCGAACGTTTCAGAACTCAAATGGTCTTCCGAAAAGGATTACATTAGAAAACGGAGGGACCACTGTAGTTTATTAAATAAATCTTTCAATTCTACTTGCTCTGCCACTAACAGGCTTTTAAAAAAACAATTAATTTTACTAGGAACAGAGGTTAGATATTTCTCAACTCCACTTACCTGCTACTTTATTATATGTACAATTTAGCACGTGTTTTGTTGCAAAAGAAAAATAAGTATTGGTTAAATAAAGAGCAAGTTGTCTGTTTGCAATTTCTTGCTGACTTAAAGCCTAATATTAATTTGTGTTGTATGCTTATGTTAAAAGTTATTTAAAATAACTATTAAAGTCTGTAACATTAACATAATGGATACATTCTCCCTGAATCTCATCAGAGATTGTTGTTGTTGTTGTTTGTTATGTTAACTTGAAGCTTTGTAATAGATGCCATTCACAGAAAGCTGTTTTCTTTTTTTTTAAATTCTAATTAGAACTATTTATACTTTCAGTGAGCTCTAAACCAATCTGTACAACTTTGCTATCACAAGGGGTCATTTGAATTCAGAAAAGGTGGAAACTTTAGGTTCTGTTTTTCTTTCCAATGGCACAAATAAGTTTCTAAAAGCAAAAGAACCACAAATTCTGACACAACACTGGCTACATATAATTAATTGGGTGACCAACTGTAGATAGCTCTCCAGAAAGCTTTGCCCTGAACATGTGAGCATCCGTCCACCCCTGACTGAGAAGCATACAAATGCGTACGCTACTCTTTGATTTCTCAGAACAGAACCAAGGAACAAGCTCTTTCAAAATCCATCTAAGTTCTTTGCAATATCACTATTATTCTGGGATATTAATGCAAGACCAAATATAAGGTCATGAATAAATTCATGCTTCAAAATATAATGTGCTCAAAAATAGCCGAGTCTATTTACCATCTTCAAATACGGTTGAAAGGAATAAAAATGAAATGTAATAAATATCACAAAGCTTTCTAGATATGGAAAAATTAACAATCTATTGGGTACTGGCGGAATAAGTTCCTCCAGGGGCCAAAGAGATAATGTAAAGGAAAGCCCTTTAAGACAACCATGAAATGGAGCTCCAGGCTAACTAGGGAGAAACATTCCATAGAAGACAATGTCACAATAAAGTTTCCTATTTTCAATCCCTATTTCTCCTGGGGAGCTAAAAATACAAACTTCATACTCTAGTCCTATCCTATTGTATAAAGATTTCTGCTTAATAAAGAAGCCACTGGGATTTGGAAACACGTCATTTGCTTAAACGAAAGGAAAGGTCGCTTCATAATAAAAAGGAAGATCGTAGCCCGGGTACCTGGGTTTACCTTTGCTTTGCGAAAGTGGTAGACCACCAGCATGCTAACGAAGTCCAGCAGCATACACAGGGCTTGGAAGGAGATGATAGCGAGCCGCAAATACTGGTCCTCCTGGACGAAGCAGGGGCTGTCATCAGCACAGTAGGGGCAGCCCTCCCTGCAGGGCAGGCAGACGCGGGTTTCTTCTGACACAGCTTTTGCGCTTTCTGCAAAGTGGAGATCCGGACCCCTTCCTGAAAGTTCCAAATAAAACCAGAGGGTCATTGTACCTCTGAGGTAGGTGAGACTGAGTACGGAGTCAAAACACATCTTTACCTCTTCATTCCTTCTCCCTTTTATTAAAGACCTTTTGCCAACCTTCTGGCTAGAGCAGCAACCTTCTTGCTACTTTGCCTTTAGACACAAACAAAATCCTTTTTACCTCTTGGATTTAAAAAAATTAGCAAACATGGAAATAGAACTTCTTAAAGGCAGAAAATAGTTTTCTAAGTCTTTTATATCATTACCTACCACTCACCAACAGATACTCCTTATGGCACAAATCATATTCCATAAATATTTGTTAAAGAACTAACCAGAAGGCAGGAGAAGAAAGTTGTGTCTTTCCTGCACCAAATATATATGCACAACACACCTAGACGGCACAAAAATCCAAAATGAGGCTTTGATTGCTCCTTAATTCAGCAGGAATCTCATCTACCAAGTTCATTAGGTCTCAATGGGATAAAATGGCACTTAATAGACAGTTATTCGGTGTGCAATCGCACAATGATGGTGTATCCTTTGCCCAGGGTGCAATCCATACTTACAGGCTGCCCTGTAATTTCCCACTTGGCATACCCATAGGATGCTTCCTCACTGTTAACTAACTGCTGTTGCTGACCTTCCCATTAAAGTTAGATTCTTCTGTCTGAGCTGTTACACTCAACTTAGCTCTGAAGTCCACAGGTAAAGATTCTCTTTAACTGTTAGGATAGCAACAATTAGCCAATCAACACCATACACTAAACAGAACAAAAACAAGAGCAAAAAACAAAACCATTTCTAACTCTGAACTCAACATGAAAGACATTAGAGGCTATATACCCAATTTAGTATCTAACACAACCCCATAGTTTGGTATATAACACAACCTTGATTGATTGACAAATTTGGGAAAGTAGTTATTCTGATTAACAGCGTTTCAATAACAAAATTTAACAGAAAGTCTTTATTACTTTCAACTCTTGTTAAAGGTTCATAATTCTTCTAAAATATATTTGTCTGCTTTTCTTAATAAATACAGTAGCAAAAACATAATTGAATATTTCTTTGATGATTCAGGATATATTGTTTTGTAAGAGCCGTCGTTCTGTTACACAGTGAAAAGTGTATGAATCTGAGTGTCCAGCAGATACGGTTCCCGTTGCCAGAGAGCTCCAAGGCATTAGGCAACTCACTTGACCACAATGGGTCTTAGTTCACTAATGTATGAGATGTGAATTGCTGTGGAGTTTAAATGAGATAATGTATATACAGGATAGGGCAAACCTAGGTTTATAGTTGTTTGTATGGAAAATAATACAGTACTTAAGAAATAATAATACAAGAATAAACTCTGTGTTTTGTGTACTCACAACTGTAAACCTACTTTTGCCCCACCCTGTAAATCAGGGTGCCTAGCTTTCTCTTCTCCAAATATGGGAGGTGCGGGGAGGGACTAGGAATCTACTGGTGCCTTAAGGAAAGGTACTGCTTGTTCAAACACAAGGAGGTTAGAAGAAAGAGCAGAAGTAGGGTGGGGGGGAGTGGAAGGATAAGCTGCATTTGAGACAAATTAAACTTGAGGTCTAATTCATTGTCCAGGAGAAATATACATTAAGACGTGAGAAACAATACAAGACTGGAGTGTGGAAGGAGGATCAGTGTCAGAGAAAGAACCTACAGAGAGCCCTGGGAGTGGGGAAGGGGATGCAAAGACAAAGACGTTAGACAGGCAGACATATTTTTACAATATCATAAAAGAAAACTTTGATTTGCTGGAACATGCTGGAATGTGATCAAAGATGATAAATGAGTAAAGGCTATGAAGTTTAATGATTATTTTACCCTTCATTTATCTTTAAGACAATAATTTCCAAAGAGTGGCAGAATGAAATTAGGTTGTCAGCGCTTAAGAAATAAATATGTGATAAAGTAGAATAGTATTTCAATAAATGTTCCAGTGAATGAAAAAAGCTAGAAAAGCTCATGATTAATAGGAATAATGATTGGATCAATAAAAGGATTTGGGTTTTTTTGTTTTGTTTTCTTGAGTTATGGGTGAGATCTGAATACAGGTGCAGTCAGCAAAAGGGGGCATTGGAAATGAAAGGAAGATATGGGAAAAGTAGTTGAGAGATATGAGAAGTTGGGATTGGGTGTAATCAAGAGCATAGCTGCAGAAATTAACCCTAAGAATAATTGATGGCTTTTCTTCTCACACTGGAAAGAAGTAGAAGTGGCTTTAAGACTGTTTTAAAGTAGTTTTTTTATAGTGAAGAGGAATCCGTTGCAAACCATTTCGAGGTAGAGAAGAGAGAAGATGCGGAAGCCAGTCCTGGATAATTCTTACCCTGCTCAGGTGAGAATGAAGGCGGCCCGTTTGGGAGTAAAGACATGAAAGAGTGACATAAAGCCACATGACCAGCTAGCTGATCACTTGGCAGAAAAATAATACAGATGGGAGAAGATAGCAAGATTGACTAGGAGATGGAGTCGAGAGAATTTTCCAGTTTTCTGCAGTTAGCAGCAGCCTAGAAAGAAGTGGGCCGGGACAGGGCAGCTGAGGGACAGGGGCACTGCAGGCGAGGAGGAAGGGCCAGTGCGAGGCCCTGTGACGAAGCCGCCTCTGCTCAATACCCCTGAGTCTGAGCACAGCGAAGGATTAAAGAGGGAAACGTTTCTCCATCATTTTCTGGGTCAAGCACTCAGAGTCCAGAGCAGGTTCCTTCATCCTGTGCATGACGCCAGGGGTGTCCCACAGCAGACAAGAAAGTTAGGTATATGGTATGAGTTTCCAGTCTGAGGCAAAGCAGAAATGCATCTGTACGTAAGCAAAGCCGGTGGCCACTTTCAGGAAACAGTCATAGCTACGGCTAAAGTAAAGGTAGGGCCGCGTGGTATTTGAAGATAGGAGAAACAGGGATCTAATACAGGCACAGACTTGAGGACTGATAGGCCACCTAAGTCAAAAACTATGGAGTAAGAAAGCCTGGGATATTAAGACGACAATGAATCGATGAACTCTTCAGTATACGCTGAATAGTCATGTAAGTGAAGCTGGAAAGGGGTCATTGTACTGAATTAAGATAAAGGACAGTGTCAAGGATTCCGATGGTCTGATGAAGGTGACACAAATGTCAAAAGCTCTAAAATCAGGTTTGGGAGACAGAGGTCAGGATTTCCCTTTTTTGGCCAAGATGACAGAACAGGGATTACATTTACCTTCCCATTAGAAATAAAAACAAAAAATGGACAAGATATTAAGAAGCAACAGTTTTACAGACATTGGATATCAGCAAAGAAGGACAGTGATTCCTAGCAGGTATAAACAAACACTCCTCAAACAAACTACCATAATCAGAACCACAACAAAAGTTAGTAGAGAAAAGGTATGGAAAATCTGTTTTGTGAAATAGTCCTTTTAAACCCAGTCTTTGCTTTCTTGATTTAGCTAAATAGGCAAGATATTTTCTCGTTGGTTGAAGAAGCTCCTGGCTGCCGATAAGCCAAGCAGTATACACTATTTACTTTCAATATAAATATAAACTAAACTTGAAACTTCACCTGTATTTGCAAAGGTATAATTCTCTCAGATGTTATGGGCAGAGGCTATTTAGCACCTTGAGTCACTCAAACCTGAAAAATACTGCAGTGTGTTAACCGCATGGTGTTACATGTTCTTTGTAACATGTGACCATGGCAAGCAATCGCCGTCACATTTTAGATACATTTGATAAGTCCTTCTTAAAATTTTCAATTGTTTTTTAACCAATCAAAATTTGAGAGTACTTCTTTGCCTAGGAGAAAACCTAACCTATCCCTGGCTCGTTTCATGACCGTTATTTTACTACTGCCCAATTTCCTCATCTTTAATTGTTACTCTGTTACAAAGTGTATATTTCTGTAAGGTACTCAAAATCATTTTTTCAAAGAGGTATGAGATAGAAAGAACTAGAAGAATAGTACCTGAGGTTGTATTGCATTTGATAGAAACAAACTATTGTTCAGCTCAACAACTATGTTCTGAGTTTCAAATTATGTGTCAGGCACTGTTGTAGTGGGATAAATAAATGAACAAAACAGAAGATCTCTGTGCCTGTGGAATTTATGTTCCAGTAGGGGGAACAGATAACAATCAATCAGAGTATTAGGTAAATAATATTATCTGCTAAAACTGAGACGCGCCAAGAGAAGAAAAATAGTGGAGTAAGGTCAGGGGCATCAGAGGCGCTGGGGGTAGGACTTGCAAGTGAAGAGTATTCCAGGGAGAAGAGACAGCCAGCACAAAGGTCCTGAGGTAGGGGCACACCGGGCATATATGGGCAAGTGCAAAGAGGCTGTGTGGCTAGACTGGGACGAAGCTTAGGACCTGGTAGGTCACACAGATAACTCTAATTATGTTGTTAAATACTTTCCTATATATACAGAAAGAACTAATTTGCAGAAGTAGTTTATTATTGCCTGTGGTTTGTTTTTTCCCTTTATAATACTAGGTCTCAAATCAATTTGTAAAAGATAGTAGAGAATACAATGACTTACTTCCAGTTTAAACAACTACTGCATTTAAGGAGTAAAACCCTCTCCAGTACACTTTTTGTTATGCAGATTATAACCAAATTAATTGCAGTTGGTGAGATACTTGAATAAGCTGGGTTGATCTAACTGCCCAAATCTGGTTTTTAAGATCTGGAGGTCTAAGAAGCTTAAATCATCACCAAAATACAACCCTTATTTTAATGGTAGCAAAAAAAAAAAAATGGCAAAACAGTTTTTCTTTTCATATTTTGGCAAATTCAACAACTGATATTTGTAGAGAATTGCCATAGACCCATAAGACATTCTGCAACAGTCTAAATATTTGGCTTTAAGATCAATTATTTGTTTCCTCTCCATAAGACATATCCAAGGATTTAAAAAAAAGAAAAAAATTATTCTGCAATTAAAAACATTCTTCCTGAAATTTATTTTGTGTGTATTAAATTTATATAAT